GCCCTTACAAATAGCTGTGAAAAGAAGAGAAGTGAAAAGCAAAAGAGAAAAGGAAAGATATTCCCATTTGAATGCAGAGTTCCAAAGAATAGCAAGGAGAGATAAGAAAGCCTTCCTCAGCGATCAGTGCAAAGAAATAGAGGAAAACAAAAGAATGGGAAAGACTAGAGATCTCTTCAAGAAAATTAGAGATACCAAGGGAACATTTCATGCAAAGATGGATTCAATAAAGGACAGAAATGGTATGGACCTAACAGAAGCACAAGATATTAAGAAGAGGTGGCAAGAATACACAGAAGAACTGTACAAAAAAGATCTTCATGATCCAGATAATCACGATGGTGTGATCACTCACCCAGAGCCAGACATCCTGGAAGGTAGAATCAAGAAGGCCTTAGAAAGCATCACTACGAGCAAAGCTAGTGGAGGTGATGTAATTCCAATTGAGCTATTTCAAATCCTGAAAGATGATGCTGTGAAAGTGCTGCACCTAATATACCAGCAAATTTGGAAAACTCAGCAGTGGCCACAGGACTGGAAAAGGTCAGTTTTCATTCCAATCCCAGAAAAAGGGAATTCCAAAGAATGCTCAAACTACCACACAATTGCACTCATCTCACGTGCTAGTAAAGTAACGCCCAAAATTCTCCAAGCCAGGCTATAGCAATAAGTGAACCGTGAACTTCCAGATGTTCAAGCTGGTTTTAGAAAAGGCAGAGGAACCAGATATCAAATTGCAAACATCCGCTGGATCATCGAAAAAGCAAGAGAGTTCCAGAATAACATCTATTTCTGCTTTACTGACTACACCAAAGCCTTCGATTGTGTGGATCACAAAAAACTGTGGAAAATTCTGAAACAGATGGGAATACCAGACCACCTGACCTGCCTCTTGAGAAACCTGTATGCAAGTCAGGAAGCAACAGTTAGAACTAGACATGGAACAACAGACTGGTTCCAAATGGGAAAAGGAGTACATCAAGGCTGTATATTGTCACCCTGATTATTTAACTTCTATGCAGAGTACATCATGAGAAACGCTGGGCTAGAAGAAGCACAAGCCAGAATCAAGACTGCCGGGAGAAATATCAATAACCTCAGATATGCAGATGACACCATCCTTATGGCCGAAAGTGAAGAGGAACTAAAAAGCCTCTTGTTGAAAGTGAAAGAGGAGAGTGAAAAAGTTGCCTTAAAGCTTAACATTCAGAAAAATAAGATCATGGCATCCAGTCCCATCACTTCATGGCAAAGAGATGGTGAAACAGTGGAAACAGTGTCAGACTTTATTTTGGGGGGCTCCAAAATCACTGCAGATGGTGACTGCAGCCATGAAATTAAAAGACACTTACTCCTTGGAAGGAAAGTTTTGACCAACCTAGACAGCATATTAAAAAGCAGAGACATTACTTTGCTAACAAAGGTCCACCTAGTCAAGGCTATGGTTTTTCCAGCGGTCATGTATAGATGTGAGAGTTGGACTGTGAAGAAAGTTGAGCAGCGAAAAATTGATGCTTTTGAACTATGGTGTTGGAGGAGACTCTTGAGAGTCCCTTAGACTGCAAGGAGATCCAACCAGTCCATCCTAAAGGAGATCAGTCCTGGGTGTTCATTGGAAGGGCCGATGTTGAAGCTGAAACTCCAATACTTTGGTCACCTCATGCGAAGAGTTGACTCACTGGAAAAGACCCTGATGCTGGCAGGGATTGGGGGCAGGAGGAGAAGGGGAGGACAGAGTATGAAATGGCTGGATGGCATCACCAACTCGATGGACATGAGTTTGAGTAAACTCCGGGAGTTGGTGATGGACAGGGAGGCCTGGCGTGCTGCAATTCATGGTGTCGCAAAGAGTTGAACACGACTGAGTGACTGAACTGAACTGAATGAGGCAACTACTACTGGGTTTTTGGATGGGGGCTGGTCACTATAAAGACCAAGTAATGATTAGAAGCCTGGAATTTTCAGCTTCAATCTCCATTCTCCAGAGAAGGGTAGGGGCTGCAAATGGAATTAATGACTAACTCATCTATATGATGAAACTGAATACAGAAAACAAAAATATGGGGGGGTTCAGTAAGCTTCCAAGCATGCACACACATACACATAGTACAAGGGTGACACACCCCAACTCTATGGCAACTCCTATACTCTGGATCCTTTCACACTTCATTCTATGTATCTATTCATCTAGTTTTTCATCTGTGTCCTTTATTATGGGCTTCCCAGATGGTGCTGGTGATAAAGAACCTGCCTGCCAATGCAGGAGACATGGATTTGATCTCTGGGTTGGGAAGATCCCCTGAAGATGGTCACAGCATCCTTTAGTAAAGTGAAAAAGGTGAAAGTCGCTCAGCCATGTCCAACTCTTTGCAACCCCATGGACTGTACTTTCCATGGAATTCTCCAGGCCATAATAGTGGAGTGCGTAGCCATTCCCTTCCTTCTCCAGGAGATCTTCCCAACCCAGGTCTCCTGCATTGCAGGCGGATTCTTTTATCAGCTGAGCCACAAGGGAACTGGTAAACAAAAGTAAGTGTTTCCCTGAATTCTGTGAGCTGTTCTAGTAATCCAAATGGCAGATGATCATGAAAACCTCTGATGTGTGTAGTCAGGTAACAAAAGTTGTGGGTAATCTGGGGATCCACTATTTGCAACTGATATCTGAGGTGAGGGGCAGTCTCCTAGGACTGAGTCCTTAACCTATGGGATCTGATGCTTTCTCCAGGTAGACGGTGCCAGAATTGAGTTAAACTGTAGGACACCAGATGGTGTCCTAAGTGTCCTACCAAAGAATTGCTTGGTGTCAGAAATAAAAATTCATACACTTGGTTTCTGAAATGTTGTGAAAAATGGTAGTATGTCAAAGTAAAGGAGAAACGCAGGAGGAGGACCAGGTTTTGCCAAGACAGCACCAATACAGCAAATTCTAACACAGTACTAATAACCAATGCTCACTATCAATTCTAACAGAGATGTTTACAGACAAAACTGGCCAAAACAACTGATTCCATAAGATATCTGAAAGGTATCTTTGTAAGTGGTGAGGCAGTACAGTTTAACAAAGCAGTTTTAGAACTTGTTCTGGCCATAAAACCCTTTTTCTTACTGTTTCCCCTGTTCCACTAATAACTCTGTCATTTTTAACATCTAAATTGGAGCCCAGGATCTGCTCTTCATTAATTAGTAAGGATATAAATCCTGGTTCTTCTAGCTAGCAAATCACTGAACATCAAATTTCTTATACATAAAATGGAAATAATACCTACATCACAAAGCTACTGTGAGGTTTAAAGGAAATAATGTATTTGAATATTCCACAGCTTATTAGAAGCTTCTTAGATATGTATTAAAGGTGAACATAAAAAAAAACAGAGAAACATAAAAATACAAAAGCTTCTGATTACTAGGAAGAGTGGAAAATAGGGCAAATATTTAAGCAGAAAAAACAAATAAGTTTTCTAATGTAGGAAAACAGGATAAAGATATTATGAGGAATTTAAAAAAGAACCATCATTATCACCACCATCATCTCTACTATGTGCCAGACACAATGCTTGGCAGTATGCTTACAACATCTTAACATTTCATTCTCACAACAATTCATTAAGATATTTACTATCATTTTTCAACAAGGAAATTAAATGTTGACTAGACTATAAATTAAACATAGGATGAGATTTTGTCTGTGTTAATCATCATTTGTAGCAAATAGCCTAGTGGATAGCAGGCACTCAAAAATATGTATTGGCCAGATGGGTGGATGATGAAGAGAAACTCCAAAAAGTCACCTGCTGGAGACACACAGTCACTGGTGATGTCTGAATTTAAACCTGAGTTCAGCTAACTCCAGAGCCCACACTTATACTCAGTACGTTTTAGAAGGTCCTCATCATATAAATGGATTAACAGAAATGACTAATAAAAGGAGAGCATTACGTTAAGCTGGAATTCAATGAATCTTAAAGACAGCGTCTAAAGTAGTCTCAAAGGTAAAAGAGAATAACAGAAAAATTATCAAATGGTATACTGAGTAGGACTGTTTAAGAAAGACTTAACAGATAATAAATAAATCCAGGAAAGCAATCTTGGACGATGAATGTAAGAACGTTTGAAGCAAATAGTACAGAGTATGATTCTGGTCTGAAGTATGTGAAAAGTACGAAGGAAGACAGGAATAAAGGGCTGACATAATGGATTTGACAATGTAGCTGATTTACAGAAGCAGCATCAGGCTGGGAGGAACAAAACCCAGTTGCACACAGAGGTGAGAGAAGATCATGATCTATTCTAAGACCATCAATGTATTAAAAGTCGAAGTAAAAAGAAAGCTACAAAGGAAGAAAGTATCCAAACTAGAAGTGTGCCAAATCTTTAAGCTAAGAAATAACACATTAACTATTTTTAAATGGCTGTTTAGTCCTAACTGGGGTGGCTAACCATATACAAATAAGTGGAGGTGCAGGAAAATACCATAAAGGCATTAACTTCATGGGCTTAGTTATGAGCCACTAAAACCACAGAATTGGAAAGAACAAAGAACTGAACTGAGGGGGACAGTTCAGGGAGAAAACTTTATAAAGAATCATGAGGGTTGATTCTTTATAAAGTTGATTTTTCATAAAGAATACTGCCAGGTTGAACAGTAGCCTATACCCAGTTTTGTAAATTGAAGCTTTGTAAACTACGTTCTTGATACTTTTTTATGAACACTTTACATGTATGACTAGTCTAAGCAATCAAATAAAATTCTAGACACATAACCCCAAATCCACTTAAGTCAGTCTCTATTTTAGCCTCTTTAGACAGACTAAAGTCTCCTCAGTTAACTGCCCTAGTCCTTTAAAACAAAACAAAACAATAACAACTCAGCAAATTTTTAGAACATCTTAACATTGACAAAAGGCATCAACAAAATAAACTATTCCCAGAAAAGCCTAAAAAGAGACAAAGCTGACAGATACTGTTGCCTATTGATTTGTGTGTATTTTTAAACAACTTACCTAAGCAATTTATGACCATTTGTTGTGGCAACTTCAGCAAGACTTGTTAGAATCTTTAAATACTGGCTTTCACTTTGCTGAGACAAATGCTCCAGAACTTGCCGTAACTAAATTTTTTACAAATAAAAAAATATAATTACATAATAATCCAATAAACTTTGTCAAGAAATGAAGTACTTAATAGCTTGGTAAGTATCCCAAAGCTCAATTAGCTGAACCAAGTCCTTTACAAATATCTGGCCTTGCATAAAATCAAAACCTTATACAGAGATAAGATGACAAAAAAATCTTTGTTCAAAATCACCCAGTGAAAAAGTATAAGTAGATAGATAGAAGTCACCAAGTTTTTTTATGGAAATTAATGCCAAACTTCTAAAATCTAAAAAAAACTTAAACTCTATAGTGATTCAAAGAGTAGAGTATTACAAATACAGAGCTCAGTAAACTGGTGATTACTATCATAACATGATATTCCTTCTTAGGTTCTTTTCCTCTACCTATGGGAAATATTCTAATTATCTTAAGAAGAAATCAAAGGTGCAGAGGACAGACGACTCACAGGGCCAAATATTAGCACAAAGTTTATTAATTATTATGTAATTCATACTAATCCTATAAGCAGATAAGCCAATTCAAATTATTAAAGTACTTACATAATAAAATTACTAAACACATTTGTAAAATGCCATATACACCACATATGAACAAAGCTTGTTCATTTATAAGCTATTCAGTTCAGTTCAGTTCAGTTGCTCAGTCGTGTCTGACTCTGTGACCCCAAGAATCACAGCACGCCAGGCCTCCCTGTCCATCACCAACTCCTGGAGTTTACAAGCTATTAGCATAATTATATTACCATGTTTTCTCGGAGATCTTCATTCTGTGTCATTTGAATAATTGTCTGGAAAAGCCGAGGGTGATACTGAATTAATACTTCACAGGTCTCTCCATATCCACCCTAAAAACAAGATTTAAAATTATCTAGGTTTAAAAACAAAATTCCTAAAGGAAAACGTGTTTCTTCTACATGTAAATTTGGTACCAAATATGTGAGTTTTCCACACCCAGCAACTGTCCAATTCTCTGTGGACACTGACTGGGTATCCCACCGTTTAATTCAATTATGATGCTAACTGCCTGGAGTTAGAGCATACTAAACAGTAGGGAGTCAGTCCTGCAAGAGTGCCCCCAATTCAAAAGCCAATCACAAGTCCACATCACCCACACTTTGACTAACCTATAAGTAAGGTGCTCCCAAGACCTACTCCTCAGGTTTAATAATTTGCTAGAATTGTTCATGGAACTCAGGGGAACACTTCACTTACATGTTTACCATAAAGGCTGCAACTCAGGAACAGGCAACCAGAAGACGCACAGGGCCAGGTGTGCAGGAAGGGGCCCAGGCTTCTGCGCCCTCTCTGGATGAGCCGCCCTCTCAGCACTTTGAGGTGCTCACCAACCCAGAAGCTCTCTGAGAACCACACTGTTCAGGGTTTTTATGAACGTTCCATTACACGGGCATGGATGATTAAATTATCAGGCACTGGTAACTAAACTCAATCTCTAGTTCAACTCCCTCCCCCAGGATGGGAGAGGAGGCTGCCTCTAACAACAGGGATGGATCTTCTGTCAACCAGTCCCTTTCCTGAAGCTATCCAGTCTTTCAGTCACCGGTCATCTCATTAACACACAAAAAGACATTCTTATTACTCTGGAGATTCCAAGGGCCTTAGAACCTCTTGTGTTAGTAACTGCGATATAGGCAAATATATATTTCTTATACTATCACAGTTCCTTTTAAAGATCATATTCTTAACAGAGTAACAATCTTTGCACCCATCCTCTCACTTGAGGGAAAAAAAAAAACGATCTTACCTGTCCCAGTTTCTATTACAAAGTAAAGTGAAGTGAAGTGAAAGTCGCTCCGTTGTGGCCGACTCTTTGTGACCCCATGGACTATACAGTGCATGGAATTCTCCAGGCCAGAATACTGGAGTGGGTAGCCACGGGGAACTTCCCAACCCAGGGGTCGAACTCAGGTCCCCTGCATTGCAGGCAGATTCTTTACCAGCCCAGCCACCAGGGAAGCCCAAGAATGCTGGAATGGGTAGCCTACAATAGGAATATACATTAACAACATACCTGTACACATAAATCCAGAGGGGTTACTCCATTTTTATCTGACAGATACTTGGCTCCTCGTAACAGAAGAATCTGTGCTGTGTCTCTCTGACCATGACTGTATAGAAACAGAACCAAGTTAACATGTGATTCTTTTTAATTCTTTTTATGTCTTTCTCAATAAGTTATGGACAGTTAGCATCAATCAACAGAGGATGACAATTCTGACACATCGAGAGGAAGATCTGAGCTACAACCTCAACAGTTAGAAAAACTTACCAATGTTAAGTCATCCTTTAATAATGTAGATAAGAAACTGACCTAGTGAATCTCAGAACTCAACTTGGGACATATAATAACTCATAACATTTTGATATGAGTTGCTGCTACTCAGGCTTATGCTGTTTTTTCCTTTCAATCACTTTCTTCTCAATTCTAGCCTGACCTGCTTTCCAGCACAAAGATCCAAGTCTCCAGATTTCTTAGTCCAAAAGGATCTCAATACAAAAAACAAGTGTACATTTTATGACGCTTCATTACTTGGTAAAAAAATAAAAACAAAAGAAGAAGAAAAGACAAAAATCAAAATAAATAAATGGGGGGAGATTAATTAGCCAAAAATACTATCTAATTTCCAACCTTCATTTTATCAGCCCATTCAGTCTGGTTTCTGCTGACAGCTATTCAAACTGACCTACAATGAAAATTCTTATCCACTAAACTCTAGATTTCATTATTTTTAATAAGATTTTTTTAATAAGATTAAAAAAATTTTTTTTTCAATTTAATGTTTTTGGCTGTGCTAGGTCTTAGCTGCTGCTTGGGCTTTTCTCTAGTTGTGGTGCACAGGCCTCTCATTGCAGTGGCTTCCCCTGGTGTGGAGCACAGGCCTCTCATTGCAGTGGCTTCCCCTGGTGTGGAGCACAGGCCTCTCATTGCAGTGGCTTCCCCTGGTGTGGAGCACAGGCCTCTCATTGCAGTGGCTTCCCCTGGTGTGGAGCACAGGCCTCTCATTGCAGTGGCTTCCCCTGGTGTGGAGCACAGGCCTCTCATTGCAGTGGCTTCCCCTGGTGTGGAGCACAGGCCTCTCATTGCAGTGGCTTCCCCTGGTGTGGAGCACAGGCCTCTCATTGCAGTGGCTTCCCCTGGTGTGGAGCACAGGCCTCTCATTGCAGTGGCTTCCCCTGGTGTGGAGCACAGGCCTCTCATTGCAGTGGCTTCCCCTGGTGTGGAGCACAGGCCTCTCATTGCAGTGGCTTCCCCTGGTGTGGAGCACAGGCCTCTCATTGCAGTGGCTTCCCCTGGTGTGGAGCACAGGCCTCTCATTGCAGTGGCTTCCCCTGGTGTGGAGCACAGACTTCTCATTGCAGTGGCTTCCCCTGGTGTGGAGCACAGGCCTCTCATTGCAGTGGCTTCCCCTGGTGTGGAGCACAGGCTCTAGAGCTCTCGGGCTTCAACAGCTGCTGCACACAGGCTCAATAATTGCAGCCCCCTGGCTTTAGAGCACAGGCTCAGTAGCTATGGCACACGGACTTAGTGGCTCCAAGGCATGTGGGATCTTCCTGGACCAGAGATCGAATCCATGTCTCCTGCACTGACAGACAGATTCTTTACCACTGACCCACCAGGGAAACCCCTGAAAGCGGAAGTGTCAGTCACTCAGTCGTGTCTGACTCTTTGTGACCCCATGGATCATAGCCCACCAGGCTCCTCTGTCCATGGAATTCTCCAGGCAAACATACTGGAATGGGTAGCCATTCCCTTCTCCAGGGGATCTTCCCAATCCAGGGATTAAACCCATGTTTCCTGCACTGGCAGGCAGATTCTTTACCACTGAGTCACCAGCAAAGCCTCTAGGTTTCATTATTTAAAGCTACTTTTACAAAATGCCCAAGGAAGTCATACAGTTTCAAAGAATATCTGATCAAACAATTTTATTTTGTGGATGAAACAAACTATTACTCAAGCACAAGCGAAACTCGAGCTCGTATCTCCGGTTTTCTATACCAATACTCTTCCTACAGTACCATTACCTAAAAAGGTATGTTACTTCATAGAGAAAAAGACTATATAGATTCAGTTCAGTTCAGTTCAGTCACTCAGTCGTGTCCAACTCTTTGCGACCCCATGAACCACAGCACGCCAAGCCTCCCTGTCCATCACCAACTCCCAGAGTTCACCCAAACCCATGTCCATCGAGTCGGTGATGCCATCCAACCATCTCATCCTCAGAAACTTAAACAGATAAAAACAACCTATTCATTCTTTTCCACAAAATGACACTGCATAAAGTATAACTGAAATTAATTTCGAAAACAGCATCCTAGTATTAACCTGGTAGCAGATACTAGGTGTATCACTCTCTTGAAACTTGATTATAATACTGATTACCTTCCTTAAAACAAATATCAACAGATGAAAAATAACTTAAGAACAGTTTCTAATTTACTCTAAAAAAGCAGAAAGTCAAGAAACCAAGTAAAACAGCAATCCCTCCAAAAGAAACAAATTACTTTTACTAGTCTACATTAAGAAAAGTCTTCATCAAGCATCATTTCAGTGGAGTTCTGGCCAACACATTTTGTATTATATAGTTAACAGTAATCATTTTACAAATAACACTGCCCTATTCTGTAGAATACCTAAAAATAAGGACTGAGAAAAGAAACTAACTCGAGCTTACTTAAGGAAACAGTGATTTCTTTGCTAGGACCCAAGGTTTGCAAAGAGTCAGACATGAATGAAGTCACTTAGTACTAGTACTAATACTAAGGTTATGAAAACTCCAGATTTACAAAGTTGTTCTGGTTCGACTTTAGTGACATTTCTTTTACAATTATTCACTACCTGGGTCAGATGAGCAATCTTCCCAACTAAACTGGAAAGTTCTTGACAATAATTTATTCCATAGCACCAAGCAGGGCAATTGGCTTATAACATGTACTCATCTGCTGAGTTATATGACAGGCTCTAATTTTAGATTACCATTCATTTGACAAGTGAGCATTAAATAAGGTACTGAGCTACCAAAAAATAACAACAAAAAACCATGAATGATAATTTATTTAGGATTAATTTCTTACCACATATAGCAACAAGAATAATTAATATCAAGGAAAAAAATATCACTATGACATTCTTATGAAGCTGGAGTACTTTCCAAAACTACATTAAAATCTCATCTGTAACCAAGTGGCATTTCATTTCAAAAGTAAGTTAAAAGAAACAATTGCTAATAGTACATAAAATCTGCATAACCTCATCAGGGTCGCAAGTGACTCATGTGAAAAAATTGCAAAGATTATCCTGTTACAGACTTCTCAAAATGCTACATGAAAGATTTTTCAGTTCAAATAACTACAAACATGTGTTCAATAACTATTCTTTACAATTCAACTTATTTTTTTATACTGATTGAGATAACTCCCTTCAAGGAAGTGCCAATATATTTTATGGAAACTAAGAAGTTGGCAAAGACTTAACTAATAAGAAACCTGTAGTATTTCTAAAGCATTTAGAACTGATTTCTCAAGAACTTTCAGGTTTCCAACTTTAGACTCTTGTAGTGATACAATTTGGAAACTTGGCTAATTTGCATATAGTACACATATCACAACATTTTTTGGAACTGCTGATGAAATAAAGAGGCTATATTTTCTATATTTTCTAATAATGGTTCTTTCCTATTCTAAAAGTTTGCAATTTTGAGTCTATGGACTGTTTTATGTAGCTACTTTGTAGTGGACTTCCTAACTGAAAGGAGTTGCCTGTAAACCAGGTTCAGAATCTTACCTCTCTCACTTTTATTACAGACCTCCAAAATGCCATAAGAATCTAATTTACTGAATTTATATAACCCAAGCTAAACCTTGCTTTCCTTAACAGAATAAAAGTTATCTGCAGTTACAGAAACTATTTGAAAATCACTACACCTTTATTAAAAAAATGAAGTTAAGGGAATGGGAAGTATTATGCCTGAATACAAAACCAGCCTAATCATTTAAGGATCTGAAGCATTTGCAGATACCATATAAAAGTCTTGAAAACAAAGGCACCTGAAAATTTGGGCAGAAGGAGAAAGTCAATGTGTGCTTATAGTCCACATGAAAAAAATCTAGTGAATTATCCTAATTCTCGTACAAAATACCTAGAGAGGAAAAGTAGCCAGGAGATAGTTCCTGACATAATTTTAGTTCAAAAGCAATCTGAAATGACTCACTCACAGAAGTATTATTTTATTAAATAGTGCTCAGAATTAGAATAGAATACAAAGGAAGAAAGAAAGGCTTGCCTGTACTATGGGTTAAGAGTCAAATTTCTTAGAAAAACCTGCAGAGCAATGAAACTGAATGAGGACCAAACAACTCTGTGCTCACTCGGTGTGGAAAAGTGTGCTAGGGCTTAGTGAGTATCTACCAACTACTAAGTGTAAAATCCTCTGCAGGATGCTTTAAATAAGACATCTCATTTAATTAGCACTATGGTTCCACAAGGTATATATCAGTATTTCCATTTCAAAAGAAACAAAGCTTCAGAGGTCAAGAAAGTTGCACAGTTTTGGGGCTGTGATTTGAACCTCACCTCCTATATAGTTCATTACGTTCTCAATTTAAAAAAAAAAAAAAAACCTGTTTCAGCTGATCTTTGAATGAGACACATGATGATATACCTACTAACATCTCTCAACAATAAAAACTTACATTAAGTTCAGCTTTTTCATCTTAGAGCCCTGTAACTTGTCTATAAGATCAACTTATTCTATTTCTCACTTTCCTTTCCCTTTTATCAGAGACTACATAAGGAATAATTTCTAATTTTTAATGTATACCTTTAGATATAGTGAACACAATTAGAAGTCCACCTACAAAATGAATCATCTTCCATGTTCCATATTTATCATCCTGCTACAAAAAGAATTTATTTTCTAGTTTCACTTTTAATCGCATTTGCTTAACCATCTTTGTTCAATGAGATATAATGTTTGCCAAGTTAAAACTTAATGAGGGGTATATAATACTAGCAGAAAGCACTTCTAAAAAATTCTTTTACACATCCCTATGCTCAGACTAACTATACGAATATCACAGTTAAGTACAACACTAATATACCTATATTTTACCAGTACACATGGCATTGTTTTACATATTTTTCAAAAATGTAATTACAGTGATTCACTCATTCAAAAAATTTTACAAAGCATCTAAGCACAAAGCACTGTACCACACAAGGAATAAGAAGTGATGAATAAGACAAACTTCTTTCTTTCATTGGGCTTTCAGTCTAGCAGGGAGACACATTATAAACCAGTAAATAAACACTATAAAATACAAAGTGCTATGAAGGAAATGATCATGATGCTGTGATAGGAAATATGCAGAGAGGCCTACTTAGATTGGTCAGGAATTTCTTTCTAAAAATTAACAATGAAGCACATGGAGTCAGCCACTTAGAAAGTCTATGGAAGAACACTTCAGGCAAAACAAACAGCATGTAGAAAAGCCTGCTGGAAAGAATCCACTGCATTTGAGGAACTCAAGGAGAACCAATGTGGCTGAACCACAGTGAACTAAGCACAGTCAGACCACGCAGGTCTCGTGAAAGAAGGCGTATATGCATGCTCAGTTGCTCAGTTATGTCCAACTCTTTGTGACCCCATGAAATGTACCCTGCCAGGCACCTCTGTTCAAGGGATTTTTCAAGCAAGAATACTACAGTGGGTTGCCAATTATTCCTCTAGGAAAGAAGGCAGGGTTTAGATTTTAATGGAAATTCAATAAAGAGGGACTGAAAAGTTTAAATACAAGGTTTAAACACAAAAAGATAACAGCCAAATCATTTTTTAGAAGGTCACCGGGGCTTCTGAGGAAAAGAAGAGAAGGTAAGGAAACAACAGAGGAATCAGGAAGACCAGTTAACAGGCTATTGCAGCATTCTAAACAAGAGGTTACAACTTTAACTAAAGTGGTTTAGCAAGGTGGAGAGAAGTGATGAGATTCAGAATGTATTCTGAAAGTGGAAATTATAAAACTTACTAATATACTCCAAGTTGAGGGTCAGAGAGAGAGAGAAAGAGAAATAAAAAATAATGACTAGTTTCTGGCTTATACAACTGAGAAGATACGGGTTCCAATGACTGAGATGAGAAAAACTGGAGAAAAGGCTTGAAAAGGAAATCAGAAGCAATATTTTGGATATGTCAACAGTTGAGATTCTCTGAGACTTCCAAGTGATGATGTAAATCAAGAACTGGACATTCAAACCTGAAGTCTCAAAGATAGGTCTGATCTAGAGATAAGCCCTCAAGATAGGATATGATTTCAGGAAATCAATGATATTATTCATAAATTCAGGACACTAAAAAAGGAACGGGTGTTCTAGTCAAGCAATCAAACTGTAAGTATAACATGAGAAAAAACCTGAATTCAGGTAGATCTAGAGGTCTAGAGATTCAGAAGTCTTTGTGTTCTAATTTAAGGTTTAATAATTTGAATCAGTCAGATCAAAGGAACATCAGAGACCTTAAAAGAGAAGTTAAACAAGGAGAAAAGCAGACATTTCATCTAAAACAAATCTTCAGGGAATTCCTGGGCGGTCCAGTGGTTAGGACTCAGCTCTTTTACCTCCAAGTCCCAGGTTCAATCCCTGGTCAAGGAAATAAGATCCTGCAAGCAACATAGTGCGACCAAAAAATTTTTTTTAAACTCCACTAAAATGACATGAAAAAGACAAGAACTTTCTGGAGAGCATTATAGCTAAAATAGGGAGCTAAAATAAATACTACAATTCTTACAATCTAAACCAAAAAGAAAAGTCAAGGGTACTGTAAATTGCTCCTACCTGCAACTAACTGGACACGTTGCATGGGGTTGAGGAGGCGGTGTGTGTATACTTACTACACTGCCAGCTCCCGAAGGGCTGGGGCTCCTTTATCACTGTGCCACTAACGCCTATAATAATGCATGGCACACAGTGAGCGCTAAGTAAATGCTTGCTATTACATGAGTGAGTCAGTGAATAAAAAGTATGCTTAAAGAAAATGAACTAGGACAAAAGCGTAAAAACAACTTAATGCATAACTTAATATTTAATAAGAATGATTCAAGAATTTGTTTTTTTAAGTTACAAATCCAGAGAAAGCAAAGACACAGCTCTGAACTAAGACAGTTTAATAGCATATCCTATTAAAACTAAGTTGGTACTTGATAAAGAAAATGATGGAAATTACTGGATTATTGATACACCTTTCTTATTACTTACCAAGTAATTAGCCTAAAATTTAAGTAATCAAGTAAATCAAAAGCTTCCACTTATGATATAAGAAAACACTGGCAGTATAAAACACTTTTCATCATGCAGTTAAATAAAAGAAACATAACACTATATATGTCATCTTAAAAGAGAGCACAGTATTTCTGGGAAAACAAGAGTTTTAGAAAATATAAAAGTATGTTTGTGTTTGGAAATACAGCAAATACAACTTTCTTTAATGAGAGCATCAGGCAATATAAAGTATCATACCTGCAAGCAAAGTACAGTGGAGTGGCTCCTGATACATTTGGTCTGTTAATATCAGCACCACTGTCCAGCAAGCACTGCACTGTCTGGGAAGAAAAGAAACAAAACTAAAGCCAGAGAAGTCAAATAAAGACAGTTACAACAATTTCAATCCATTAATAAGGAAAGTTCTTACCACAACCCAAAGCTTTAAAGGAGAGTAGCAACATGACAATTATGATGGCGGAATAAATTACACTTTTTGGTAAGCTTCGAGCTTCAGGCACTACACAGTATTCATGGAATTATCAATGTAATGTAAATTGTGTTAACCTGGGAAGGTTGCAGAAAATCACTGACACATGAAGTAGATACCAAAGACTTGAAATGTGGCCAGTACAACTGAGGAATGGAATTTTAAATTTTATTTTATTATAATTAAGTTTAAATAGCCACATAACGGCTAGTAAACTGGACAGTGCTGCTCTAGATATCTGAATTTTTTGCCTCTAAAAATAAAAAGTAGATACGAAAGCTCTAACCTTCTCAAAATTCAAAGAGCATAATAATTACTACAAAATATTAAAAAGCTAAGAAGTCCTTTAGTGGTCACAGTAGCCAATGACAACTCAGTTTCTCTGATAGTCATTCACATACACTCTTGTCCCCTAAGCTCTACTTCTGCAATCATCTGATGGGTACTAGGGTACACGTTATCACATGTCTATAGGATAACTAAACATGAATGGACAGACAACATTTAAGACAGAACTGAAGCAGGCCTCTAACCTGAAAAACAAACAGAAAAGGAAGAAAAATAAAGAAATAAAGGGAACCAAAGAAAATAGCAAAAAGATTTTAAAAGTAACTAATACTTTTAAGACAGACTAGATACTTTTCATGGGACACAAACAAGATTCTGGGGGGAAAATATTCAGACAATAAGACGTTAAAAATTTGATGGAAGAGTAAAAATTCAATGTATATATGCATGTGAAGCCACTTCAGTCGTGTCTGACTCTGCAGCCCCATGAACTATATATAGCCCACCAGGCTCCTCTGTCCATGGGGTTCTCTAGGCACAAATAGTGAAGTGGGTTGCCATTTCCTTCTCCAGGGGATCTTCCCAACCCAGAGACGGAACCTGGATCTCTTGTGTCTCCTGCAGTGGCATGTGGGTGGGTTCTGTACCACTAGCACCACCTGAGAAGCCCAAAAATTCAATAGAAGTTTAGAAAGACAGTGTTGAATAATTTTACAAGAATCAAAAAGACAAAGAAAACAGGAAAACTAGCCAGTCAATCCAAGGAGGCATGTTATAGAAACTGAGAAAAAAGGAAATAAAGGAGGCGAGAGACCAAAAGGAAGTAATCAAGAAACAATACCAATAAAATCTCCAAGAACTGAAGAACATAAGTTGCTAGATTGAAAAGGCTCACCGGAGACCTACAACAAGGCATATCAAAGTAAAATTTCATAATACTGGGGATAATAAGATTCCAGAGATAAACAGAATTCAGAGTGCCATTAAACTTTTCAAGAGCAACATGGAAATGTAAAAGATGAAACACCCCAAAATTGTAAAATGAATGACTTTCAATGTAAAATTCCACAGCCAGCCAAACTATCATTCAAATACAAGCTTTTAAATAAAAAGCATGCTTAGCTATGTAAGATATCAAAAAAATTAACTTCAACACATATGTTCTCAAGAAGCTACTGGAGGATATTTTCCTCCAAAACAAGGGAATGCAATATATCAAAATAGAAGATGTGGAATCTAGAATACTGAAGATCAAACATAGGTGAGATTAAGAAATACTCAGGGTGAGAGAAAAACAATGGAAGTGACATTATCTAATGATTTTGTCTTTGAAGAAACCAGTACTGAGAAAGATTTTGTGGGAGAACATAGGAAGAATTACTGGTTTACACCTATTGGATCATAGAAAAAGCAAGGAAAATTTAAAAAAAAAACATTTATTTCTGCTTCATTGACTACTGTAAAGCCTTTGACTGTGTGGATCACAATAAACTATGGAAAATTATTAAAGAGACAGGAGTACCAGGCCACCATACCTGTCTCCTGAGAAACCTGTGTGCAGGTCAAGAAGCAACAGTTAGAACCGGACAAAGAACAATGGACTGGCTCAAAATTGGGAAAGGAGTACGTCAAGGCTGTACACTGTCACCTTGCTTATTTAATGTATATGCAGAGTACATCATGTGAAACGTTGGGCTTGATGAATCACAGGCTAGAGTCAAAATTGCAGGGAGAAATATTAACAACCTCAGATATGCATTGATATCACTCTAATGGAAGAAAGGGAGGAGGAACTAAAGATGAAAACACTGCCTTAAAACTCAACATTCAAAAAAAAAAACCTAAAATCATGACATCTGTTCCCATCACTTCATGTCAAATAGATGGGGAAAGAGTAGAAACAGTGGCAGACTTTATTTTCTTGGGCTCCAAAACCACCACGAACAGTGACCACAGCCACAAAATTAAAAGACGCTTGCTCCTTGGAAGAAAAGCTATGACAAACCTAGCCAGCGTATTAAAAAGCAGAGACATCACTTTGCCAACAAAGGTCCATATGGTCAAAGCTATGGTTTTTCCAATAGTCACATACAGATGTTAGAATTGAACCATAAAGAAAGCTGAGCACTGAAAAATCAATGCTTTTGAACTGTGGTGCTGGAGAAGACTCTTGAGAGTCCCCTGGACAAGTAAGATGAAATCAGTCAGTCCTAAAGGAAATCAATCCTGAATATTCATTGGGAGGACTAATGCTAAAGCTCCAATACTTTGACCACCTGATGCAAAGAGCCAACTCACTGGAAAACACTGATGCTGAGAAAGATTGAAAGCAGGAGGAGAAAAGGGCAACAGAGGATGAGATGGTTGTATGGCATCACTGATGCAATGAGCAAACTCCAGGAGACGGTGAAGGACAAGGAAGCCTGGTATGCTGCAGTCTATAGGGTAGCAAAGAGGTGGACATGACTTAGTGACTAAACAACTGATTCACATACCATAAACAAAAACTGGGCAAAGCTAATAGTTATCCTAGAGAAAATGTTACTGTATTACACTACTTGACTCAGCAGTAAACAATATTTACCAAACTATATACGACTAATATTGTCTCACAAAAATCTGATATAATTAATTTTAGAAATGTGAAGATAGGGGATTTAAATTAGTTAAATCCTCACTCACTATAACAAGAAATGATTCAGTGATATCTAAAAGTCATAAACTAAGAAAGAAGAATATTATATGGAAATAGATACAATAAGAGAAGCTAAAAGAATCGAAAACTGTCACCTAGTGATTGCAAATTGAGAAAGAAGGGTATTTAAGGGACTATAATTTTTTATTACAAAGATTTTGATAAAAACATTTTAAGAGATAAGTTATTCATGTATTATTGCTATATGAATTTACTTCTATCTCAGGAGGAATTCAAAAATCTATATAATGGCAACATTATTATATTAAACTTTATTATCAGCTATACAATTGTGAAACTCAGGAGGAGTGGTCAAGAACAACTCTCAAATATAAGAAAATAAGCACTTAGGTTATTATTTTATAAGGCAAGGCCTACTTGAACCTTTTGATCATGGCTTTTGCCTTTCTGACAACTGACCTAGAAGCTGTGTTTGTGTGATCCAAATCCAAAGTGAGACGGACAGCAGCAATAATGTTCACTGACTGTTACAGAAAGTCTATAGACAACAAGCCATCTCTCAAAAGGCACAGAAGAGATGAAGTCAGTTACATCAAAAACCCATATTAACATTCAACTGAGATGCAGCAACCAGAGGAGAGTTGAAATAAAGTAATTAACAAAACATATTATGCATCCATAGAAATTACATAATAGCTAAAAGCATATAATGACATAATAATACGAATAACCTTAGCATGTGGTTGGACACTGTGCTAATAAGCATTTATCATTTAATTTACTGCATCCTGTGGGGAAGTTGATATTCTTTTCTCCAGTTTTACAAGTAGGAAACTCAGTCTCAAAGGGGTCAAATAATATGCACCCCAATACACAAATAAACAGGGGAGCAGGAATTAAAACCTAAGTCCATGGTCATAACCACTAGACAATTTACCAAAAAAACAGAAATTCTAATTTTTGTAAATTCAGAATAGTAAATAGAATTATGGTTGATCTGGAATATCTTCTTAAATTACATTAATTGTAGGTGATCTAATAGTTCCCACCTACTTAAGAGTCAAGCTCAAGAACCAACATAAGTTATTTGTGTTTAGTTTTTAAATAATGCCATTTCTATATTCATACAGTTTTCACATTTCTGCATTTCTAAAATTTATACTGTAGAGCTCACAGTAAAATAAACTAGCCATTAGACTAACATATTCCTCTACAAAGTAGTAAGACAAACTTCAGGCAAATCATAGCAAGAGAGTATGATGCACAATATGAACTGTAATATGTTTCTATCATATCCTTGTACATAGTAAATATTCTACAAATACATTAAAAATTCTGTTCTTAAGAAAGGAAAACACCCGATTAAGAAAGAAGAAAAAACTCATCCAGCATTTTCTTTTATATTCATAAATCTTTCTGCTTTTCTAACAAAATTATCCCAATTAAAAGCCTCAAAATACACAACTATTAAAAGAAACATATATTTTTTAAAATCTTCAATAGACCCCATGTAGATGAAATGTTGCCCAAAGACAAACAGGGAGAAAAACCCACTTCCCTCAGAGTAAGAATAAAAAAATACATAAAGGGATTTGAAGATAAAGAAAAAAAAATTGCCTTGCAGCACTGAAATGAGTGAAAAGTCATCAATCTTTGTGATTTGAAAAAAAAGTTCGCAGATTTCTTTTTGTAAAAGCTCTGTAACAGAAACAGAAAGGATAATGCAGAATTCAATTATCGATTAAATTACATAATAAAACAAGCAAGAAAGTCACATACCTTAAAAGTTTGGTTTTTTTTAAAATTTCCAGTCTATGTTAAACTACCTATATGTATATGAAGGGTAAAATAACTCTGAAACTAGGAAAACTCAGTTGGAGGAAACTCTTGAGTATTTATTAAATTAA